ACAAAAAGACAAACATGGTATGTACTCACTCATATATGGATTTTAGACATAAAGCAACGATTACCAGCCTACAATCCACACTGACAGAGAAGCTAGTAAACAAGGTGGATACTAAAAGAGACATACATGGTACCGTGGAGAAGGGGAAAGGGACAAGATCTCCTGAGCTAATTGGGGGCTTGGGGGGAGGGGAGAGGGAGTTAGGAGAAAGAGAAGGGAAGAAGAGGAGGGGAGAGGAGGACATGAGGGAGCAAGAAGATAGAGTCAGGGGAAGAATAGAAGAGGACAAGACAAGAGATACCATAATAGAGGGAGCCATTATAGGTTTAAAGAGTCCAGTAGTTGATAGAAGCAGAAGCAGACACCCACAGCTAAACACTGAGCTGAACCCTGGGACCCAATTGCAGAGAGGGAGGAGTGATGAGCAAAGGGGTCAAGACCAGGCTGGTGAAACCCACAGAAACAGCTGACCTGAGCAAGGGGGAGCTCTTGGACCCCAGACTGATAGCTCGGGAACCAGCATAGGATTGTTCCAGATCCCTTGAATGAGGATGTCAGTTTGGAGGTCTGGGCATCTCACAGAAGCTGACCTGAACAAGGGGGATCTCATGGACCCAGACTGATGGCTGGGATTGTTCCAGATCCCTTGAATGAGGATGTCAGTTTGGAGGTCTGGGCAATCTATGGGGCCTCTGGTAGTGGATCAGTATTTATCCCTAGTACACGAATGGACTTTGGGAGCCCATTCCACATAGAAGGATGCTCTCCCAGCCAAGACACACAGGGGAGGGTCTAGGCTCTGCTTCAAATGATATGGCAGACTTAGTAGATCACCCATGGAAGGCCTCACCCTTTCAGGGGAGCAGAAAGGGTTTGGGATGGGGGTGGGGTGAGCAGGGGAGGAGAGGAAGCAGAGGGAACTAGGATTGATATTTAAAAGAAGCATGTTTCTAATTTAAAATTGGTCTAATTACAAGTATAAAAATAATAAAAAAAGATAATTTAGCTGTTCACATTTCTCTAGGGCAGAGACATACTTTGTTTTCTCCTCCAGCCATAAAAAAGTAATATGGTGGACATATGACTGCAGAATTAGGGGCAGACATCTGACCACACTGACCAACCGTCAAGTGAAGCAAAAGAGCCTGGAGAGAGTGTTGACCTCTGGATCTACAGCAATGTTTGCTGTGCAACCTTGGGCAACCAATTTCTTGTACATCTAGTATCAGGATTGCACATGATCAAAAAGGCTCCTTCTAGTACTGATAGTCTGTGATCCCAATGTTTGATCTGTGATGAAATGTAGCCAGGATGTTCTGTTGTGTCGGTGATAGGTGACTGCACTGTGGAGGCTGAAGCCAAGGGGAAACCTATCAAAGAAGCCCCTGTATGAGCAAACACCCTGGAGGGGAGGGAATCCCTGTCAGGCTTGAATGCAGCTGCCCCCTCATCTGCTGAAGCCCAAGGCATGGAGGTGACGGTGTTGGAAAGTGGGACTTTTCTGAAGGAGTTGGGGAGCCATTCACTCCTTTTGACATCTTGCACATCTCCCCTTAGCCATGTGGGTGCTCTGGGACAAGGCAGTGGCTAGAAAAGCAAGCAGCAGCCCTTGCCAGGTACTCCATTGCCTTGATCTTGGACAAACTCCAGATGTGAGGACTAAGAACCTGTCCTTTACAAATTACCCAGACTCTGGCGTTTCATTAAAGCTTCACAAATGGGCTAAGCCACCCCCACCAGCCCAGGACTGGTACTTAGAAGGAGAGTTGGTGCCCCCTAAGCCACTCCTACCAGCTCAGCATTGACACTTGGAAGGAGAGCTGGCACCCTGGGGCCTTTTGTAGGCTATACAGTCTTCAATGGGGCAGGACTGGCTGGGGAGACTGTGGGAAGTTAAGTATTGAAGCAGCTGTGCCCATCCTAGAGAAGTCACTGGGCTAACCACAGGAATCCCCTCATCAGAGGAGAAGAATTTCCAGTTAGCTAAGGTGAAGACAGTTGGAAAGCAATCAAGTGTTTGAAGATGAGGAAGGTGGAAGACAAGGTTCTATCAAAAGTCAATATATGTTTGTAAACAAAGAAAAATGAAGAATAATCACAAATGTATTTGACTTTGGTTTGAAGCCCAGAGTGAAAAATAATAAGAAAAATGAGATTTATGGTCAGGTGTTGGTGGCACACACCTTCAATCCCAGCACTTGGGAGGCAGAGGCAGGCAGATCTCTGTGAGTTCAAGGCCAGCCTGGTCTACAGAGTGACTTCCAGGTCAACCAGGGCTATACAGGGAAACCCTGTCTGAAAAACCAAAAGGAAGAAAGAAAGAAAGAAAGAAAGGAAGGAAGGAAGGAAGGAAGGAAGGAAGGAAGAAAAAGAAGGAGGAAGAGGGGGAGGAGGGAGATTAGTTTCTGAGACCAGGTTGCTCGCACCGGCCTCCATCTTACTGTGCAGTTACAGATGACCTTCAGTCTCTGACCTCCTTGCCTCCACCTCCCCAGTTTGGGTATTACAGGTGAGGACCACCATCCCTGGGTCCTCAGGCATGCTAGGCAGCCACTCCACCAACTGAGATCCATCCCTGGCCATAAGTTGGATTTATTAATTTACCTTTTACACTCAAAATCCTTTTGACGCTGGTTTTGGGGACCAAATCTAATGGTATCCTGTATGGAAATTCCTTTCGTCTGCTAACAATACCTGTAATAATAATTGATAATAAAAATCAGATTTGCCCAGAGTTCTTAAGGGAAAGAACTATTTTTAGGTTATATATCTAACAAAGAAATTTTCAAAACAAAACACATTTATAATAACAACATCAAATTTTAAAAAGAGAAAAAATGATAAAAGGTTTAAATCAAATCCTAGGCTTGTAATTATATAAAGATATGCTGCTTTTGTTTCACCTTGCCTGCCTAAGGCACCTGATTGGTCTAATAAAAAGCTGAATGGCCAGTAGCCAGGCAAGAGAGGGATAGGTGGGGCTGGTGGGCAGATAGAATAAATAGGAGGAGAGAGAATAAGAAGAGGAGGAGAAAACCAGGGAGAAAGAGTGGGACCCACCCGGGACCAGAAGCCAGCCAGACACAAGAAGCAGTAAAAATAAGAAACAGAAGCAAAGAAAGGTAAAAACTCCTGAGGCAAAACATAGGTGAAGAGAAACAGGATAAATTATAAGAGCTAGCAAGAAACGAGCCTAAGCTAGGGTCCAGCATTCATAATTAATGAATTATGTAAGTAAGTCTCTGTGTCATGATTTGGGAGCTAGTTGGTGGCCCCCAAAGAAAAAGCCCAATGCACTGTTGCAATGTGTTTGTGTTGTAATGCTTAGTGAGTATAGTTAAGAGGTCTGCTTGGCTCCAATCACACAGATCACAGCTAGCCAGGGCAGTGCTACACAAGTGGACATTGCTGATTCTGCATACTGGACACTCTGAAAAGTGTTTTTTTGTTTGTTTGTTTTGTTTTGTTTTTTGTTTTGTTTTGTTTTAGTTTTTGGTTTTTTGAGACAGGGTTTCTCTGTGTAGCTTTGTAGACCAGGCTGGCCTCAAACTCACAGAGATCTGCCTGCCTCTGCCTCCCAAGAGCTGTGTGTGGTGTGCCACCACCACCTGGCTCTAAAAGTGGTGTTTTAAGTTACATCAAAATTACACTTTAATTTCTACTTCTGAAATACAACATATAAAAAAATAAAAATATTTTTTTCCTACCATAAATTCCATTAGGGTCCAATGTAAAGCCAGCATAGCTTTCTCTTTTGACTCCTTCTGGCTATAGTGAAAACAGAAAACAGAAAAAATTCCATTAAAATCATGATTGCATTTATAAGATTCCTTGGATCAAATTTCTCCAGACCATTTTGCAAATAAAAATAATAAAAAAAGAAACACTAAAGACCTTCTCTTCTGAAAAGGCAAACTTGATATAAATACTTAAATGCATATAGGCAATGGAAAGATTCTGGCTATTTGAATATTGATCAGAGTGAACACTTAAATGGATGCTCTTATAGGTTGGGCAATTTGTCTAAACGCTTTGTATATATTAACTCATCAGTCTCCATGGACCTCTGTGAGGAAGGTGCTGCCATGGCTCCCAGTGACAGATGATGAAGCCAATGTAGAGATCAGCGACTTATCCCGGTAATTCTGCTAGGAAGCTTGGATCCAGGATTAAAAAAGCAAGAACTGCTCCAGCTCCAATCATGAAACAGAGGTACTCAGGCATGGACACAGCACAAAAGAAATCAGCACAACTTTTCTTTTCAACAGGACTCATTAAGTTGCCCATGGTGGCCTCAAACTTGCCATAGCCTTCTGGGCAGTTGGGATTACAGACAAGTCACTCTGCCAGCTGAATACACGTTTACTGAAGTTAATGGCACAGATCAAAACAGAACCCAAAGAATGAAGGCTCCAGAAGGTCTGAGAGGTCATTAGCTAGTGTGACAAGAACAGTGTTCCATTCTAAGTGAGCAAATCATAATTGTAAGATCACAAAGGTAGAAAAACCCTCAACAGGTGGCAGGGCCAACAATGCTTTTGGCCTGTGCATTCATTTATAAAGTGGGAAATCTTCATACTGAGGGGTCTTTAAATGTATGTGTGCAGTTTATTACTGCTTTACATTTGTTATCTAGCCTGACATCTTGCACATGGATTTCAAGATACACTTTCTGAATTAGTGGGGTAGCAGGTGTGACCCAGAAGATGTGTATCAAATAGCAAAACTCAGGAATCTCTGGGCTTGGGGATTTATTGGTGACTTTTCTTTTTCTTGGTGGATTTTTGGTATGCTTATTTTCTACAATAATCAGGTGTTATTCTTCTATTCAATAATTTTACACATAATTTCAGATTAGTGTAAAAATTACAAGAATAGCACCAAAAATGTAGGAGAGCCTCCCTTAGACTCCTCAGCTGTTCTGTTCATGTCATCATTTCTCTCCTTTGCTTTGGGCCCCAAACATAATTATTGACACAAACTGTTGATAGCACTTTCCCCAGAAACAAAGAGATTTTAAAAGAGCCATATTTTCTTACCACTACCCGTAATGTTTTCACTAAGATTTCTCTTCCAAATGAAGTCTCTAGTGAGAAGTTGATGGAGTGGAGTCCAATTTCCAGAGGAAGCAGGCTGAAGGTCACCAAGTGACTGGAGGAGCCTTCGAGCCTCTGGCGCACACATTTGGAGTACTTGGAAGCCTGATGGCTGATGGCTGAGCCCCCTGACGTGCAGATTCCCTCCACAGTAGACATTTTAACACAGAACTGAAACACATCGGGTGAAGAACTGTATCAGAACACCTCATCATTTAAGCCACATTTGATGAAAAAGATATATCTATATCTAATTCTATATCTATCTATCTATCTATCTATCTATCTATCTATCTATCTATCTATCTATCTATATCCTGAGTTCTTTGGACACCCCTCTGGTTCCAGGCACAGCAGAAGGCTCATTTCAGATTTCCTGCAGGGACACACAAGCTGCTGGAGGCATAGCAAATGTCACAGGGTGAATGAAAACTTAGTGCAGAATCGTCAGACCTTCCTTCGGGTGCTCCCCACTCCATTACGACACAGCTGCTGTCATTCTTTGTTCTTGCAACTTCTGTGTGACTCTTTTGTCTTCTCCACACTCTGTGTTTTGGGTGGCAGGAGCCTTGGGGTTAGCTGTTCAGAATTTTACCTGTCCCTTTATCTTAGCCTTTGACTCATGATAAATGATAGTGTGACAAACGATTGGAAACTGTACCTCAGCTCACTCAAAGGCTCACCTAATGTATACCCAATGTCCAATCCTGATCGTATAAACTTCTCACTTGTGCTCTAGAAAGATAGATTTAAACTTGGGCTTTCCTCTTATGAACTGTGCCATGGAAACAGATTGCATGAGCCCTCTCATTTTCTGGGAACTTTGGTGAACCAATAGAATCAAGAACTATGCCCAGAGAATAAAATCCATAAAATCCAGAACCAAGCAGATAAGCACAAGAGAACACAGACATTCAATAGCTAATTTTGTGGGGTTTCTCCCCAAATGTAGAGTTCCTTCTGCTCCTTGGCCACATTTTTGGGACAGTGCCAATCATGGTAGATGGGGCAGGAGCTAGAGGAGTTAATGGGTCAAGGATTCTGAAGGGTGCTAGCCAACTAGAGCATGTGCCCGAGTCACCCTTTTCCCCTCATAATCGAGGATATCTCTGTGAAAACAGGTGTTTGTGTGTGGTCTGGAAGGGAGCCCCAGCTGGGTGGGAGTCCCCTTCAGATTCCCCCACATAGCAGATGTGGGGCAGAGAACATTCAACACAAGTTCATTGTAAAAACCCACAATAGCTGGGCACAGTGCCAGGAGGTTCTGATGCCAGTGCTAGAGAGGTTGGCCCAGAAAGACCATAACTTTGAGGCCAGGCTGGGCTATGCTGACAGTTCCAGGCTAGCCTGAAAGTCTAAGCTATACTGACAGTTCCAGACTAGCCTGACAGGCTGTTCTATGCAGACAGTTCTAGAGTAGCCTGACAGTCTGTTCTATGCAGACAGTTCTAGACTAGCCTGACAGTCTGTTCTATGCAGACAGTTATAGACTAGCCTGACAGGCTGGGCTATGCAGACAGTTCCAGGCTAGCCTGACAGTCTAGGCTATACAGACAGTTCTAGACTAGCCTGACAGGCTGTTCTATGCAGACAGTTCTAGACTAGCCTGACAGGCTGTTCTATGCAGACAGTTCTAGACTAACCTGACAGGCTGGGCTATGCAGACAGTTCCAGTCTAGCCTGAACTACATACTCTGTCTCAAACAACAACAAAACAACCAAACTAAACCAAACAAAAAGCCCTAATGCAAACAATAGTAACCACAGTAAGTCCTTGTGGTAAGTTGAAATTAGGAAAGAACTTTTGAACCTGATAGGGCAATATGGGTAAAAAGCTACATGCAGCAGAGTTCTGATTTCAGTGATTGCCATGAGGCTAAGACCAACCATGGACTCCAGAAAACACATCTAAGCAAACAGCCTGAAGAGAAAGCGACACTTGGAAGATGGGAATGGCTTTGGGATGGAATCCTTTCTTTCTTTCTTTCTTTCTTTCTTTCTTTCTTTCTTTCTTTCTTTCTTTCTTTCTTTCTTTCTTTCTTTCTGAATCGAGGATGGGCTCCATTAGTAGAAACCTTCTGCCTTGCTGGCTCGGGGAACCAGAGGAAAGAGTGTGAAGAAGTCATGGCAACTGAACAGCGAAGACACTCCAAGTGCTGTGTATGTTCTTACTCAGACCCTGCTGACCCTTGGCCCACACAGAGCACAGATTCTAAGTACCCCAGCTAAGGATAAAAGGACAGGGACTCAGAAGTCTGGGACGATAGCCATCCAACTGCTAAAAGACATAAACAAACTGAGACACTTTGCAGAGGGACACAGCAGGACTCAGACTCTCCATATGATGTCAGTTAACACGGCTCAGAGTTGATCCAAAATTACCAGCCATGAGGGCACAGGACAACGTAATTTACACTCATAATGAAAGGAAATTAATAGGTGTTAGCCCTGATCTACCATGATGCACTTGTTTTGATATAATTGAAACATTTCAATTGCATCACCATATATCACAATAACTTTGGTTGACCGTGCTGTGACACTGCAAACTAGGACTAGAAAGCTAGGATACAGGGCAATCACATAAAACAAATAATCTGAATACAAATTCTAGTGTTAAAAATAAAAATGAGTCAATAAAATATGTCAATATGAGAGTAATAAAATTGACAATATTTTTACTTTCTCAGATTATTGATTTATAAAAATGATTACAATTTATTTAGAGTGAAATTTATTTCTAGGAATAGGTGCCCATAGTTATTAGACTAACAGAAAGCATTTTCTTTCCTTTTTTTTTTTTGATTTTCGAGATAGGGTTTCTCTGGATTGCTTTGGAGGCTGTCCTGGAACTTGCTCTGTAGACCAGGCTGGCCTCAAACTCACAGAGAATCCGCCTGTCTCTGCCTCCCAAGTGCTGGGATTAAAGGCGTGTGCTACCACCCCACCCCTGTCGCATTTGCTTTTCTTAATAAAATTCTATTTTTGAAGATTTATTTTACTTTTGATTATGTGTATCTGTGTGTGTACACAGTTGGATGCAGATGCCTGCAGAGTCCAGAGAGCTGGAGTCACAGGTGTGTGGAGTCCAGGGATGTGAGCCCCCTACTTGGATTCTGGGAACTGGAACCAGGTCTTCTGGAGGAGTAGTCCACTCTCTTAGTGGCTGAGCCATTTCTCTACCCCATCCCACCCCTTTTTAGTAACTTTAACTTTTTTTTTAAAGATTTATTTATTTATTTATTATGTATACAGTGTTCTTGTCTGCATGTGTCCCTGCCACCCCATCCCACCCCTTTTTAGTAACTTTAACTTTTTTTTAAAGATTTATTTATTTATTATGTATACAGTGTTCTTGTCTGCATGTGTCCCTGCAGGTCAGAAGAGGGCACCAGATCTTATTACGGATGGTTGTGAGCCATCATGTGGTTACTGGGAATTGAACTCAGGACCTCTGGAAGGGCAGCCAGTGCTCTAAACCCCTGAGCCATCTCTCCAGCCCAATTTTAACATTTTTTAACATACTATTTTGTTTGTAAAAATTTGTAACATGCTTTTTAAAATAAATTATATACTAGTAATATTTGTAATGATAGCTGAATACTAAATTATTTTCTTAGAGTCTTAAAATGAGATTTAAATAACTTTTGTTGTTTATAAATATATTTTCATCAAAATATGACAAGATGATCAATAGAAAAAATTAAAGATAAATATACGTATAAGTGAGTAGAATAAAATAGCTGAAAAAGAAATGAAAGAAGAGCTTATTGAATATTTAAAAATAGATTACTTTGCTATTTAGATT